ACACACACACACACACACACACACACACACACACACACACACACACACACACACACACACACACAGGATGAGTGTGTGTCTGGGAGAATGTGTCTGTTGATGCAGTTTTGTTCAGTCAGTCAGAAGTGCATCACGTATATATTTAAAGGGCTTTTATTTTGAAGGAAAACCTGAACAAATGAATCATGTGACTGAAAATATAACGCCTCTGACTCAGGGTGTGGTCACACCCTGGTTGCCATGGAAGCCAGACAGAGACATCTCTTCCACCTTCGAATCTTTTGATTGTGAACAGTATAACTCAAAAACTACTTTTCAATGAAACTTGGTGGAAGGATGTGATAAAGGTCGGGAGCGAACTCATAAAAGGTCGAACCTGCAGCTCGGTGAGATTTAAGACGCCTCATGTGACTGAGATCAAGCGAAGGATTTAACAAACTGCTTCAACGGATGAGGGAAAAGCAAGGAAAGGAATTAAAGAAAGATTTAACTTGTGCGACTTGTTCATGAACAGAGGCTGTGGGCCGACATGGGGAGTTTTCTGCTGCTCGTCTATTTATAGTGAAACCCACAAGGCTTCAGTTATGTCATCTGCACTTATGGGCCGGGGGGGAAACAAAGCAAAACATTTAAATTACTGACTTTCTATAAGAAGCTATGGGGAACAAAACTGGAAACAAAATGCAGATTTGGAAGAAAACTGCCTTTTCTTTTTTATTGTATTATTATCAATATCTTATTACAAAAGAAAGAGTCTGTTCATGTCAAACATTTATAAATTCACACACGTCTAGGACGTCACTCAGTAGAGCTCAAACCTCCACCGAGGCCCAAACAACCACATTTCACAAGATCAAGATTTTTATTTGAATCGGCACCAAATTGCTCACACTCACAAATATCAGTCCCAAAAACATGTCTGAGGATCAGTGAACTATTCTCGGAGAAATCAAGAAAATGTCGAAACATGTCGCATCCTTCCACAAAGTCTCGTGGAAATCTGCCCTGTGGTTTTTTTCATAATCTTTCTCACAAACAAACCGACAAACTGAAAACTTAGACTGAGGTTGAAGCTCGGATGAAAAACTTCATCTGGTTTTTGTTGATCAAAAATGAATTTATTCTAAAAACAGGTGGAGGAACATTGCTGGAATTTAGAAAAAAATGATTTGGAATAAAAACGTAATATTGTCAGAAATAGTCGTATATATATATATATATATATTATATACCTAATACTACTTTTGACTTTTTTCCTGTAGTATTTTGACATTATTTTTGAAATACTGTGTTTTTTCTCTTTAAATTTCGACTCTATTTATAATCTTATGACATTATAGTTAGTTTTTATTTACAGATTAAAAATGTGCATAAAAACAGACAAACACTTACAGGCTCTGATTCTACTCGCTTGTTCTGTGCAACTTAAATTAACAGTTATTTTTATATATATCAGATACATGTTTTTAAAAACGCATAATCTCATAATGAAAGTGATTAAAAAAAAAAGAATCCTGAATCTACCCTGTTGTCTGGATCCACTTGACCATTGAAGTGGTTCTTTCTTGGCCCATTTTCCATCTTTCCACCAAGTTTCACAGAAACCTGTTGAGTATCTGACAAACAAACAGACGGACACAAGTGAAAACAGGACGTAAGAAGATCCGGATCTGGATCAATCAGAAATGAAGCCTTGAGAGTTGGGAGTTGAACTTCTTGATAGTTTCTGTTGAAGCTTCTGGTAGTGTGCCTAAAAAAAGAAACACAAACAGTGTGAGGCCATGTGTGTGTGTCTTTGTGTTACATTTTTTGTACGTGTTTGTGTGTACCTGCAGGTTGTTGTAGTGCGTCTGGCTGCTGCAGTGAACGTCCTTGGCTCTGCTCTCGTTCAGGTAGAAAACACGGCAGACGTTACAGAAGTATCCCGATTTAGGGACGACAAACTCCTGACCTGAAGAGACACAGAAACACAAACGTCAAAACTATAACGAATGATTTTCAATCCGAAAGAATATTAATAATGAAATAAACTGTGTGCGAGTGTGTTTCTCACCCAGGGGCTGGTTGGCTCTAAATGGCGGCAGCTTGAAGTCGGCAGGAACAGAAGGAGACTGAGAGCGAGATCTCTTTGCCTCAGGTCCGACAATCTCGTTCTTCCTTTTACTCACAACTGAAGAAGAGGATGATAGAAACAAAACAAATGTTTTTCTCTTGCCTCCATTGTGAACTGGATATCTTTGGATTTTAGAATCGTTGCTTCTATTCACTTCAGAGCAATGACTCATTTCTGTTGGTCCCATACAAGAAAGCATCACAGAGCTTAGAATGAAGTGTGTGCTCGGCTCTCTGCACCTTTAACGTCCGCACTGCTCCCTCCGTCTTCCTCCTCCCCTCCTCCCAGACTCTCAGGCTGCAGCTCCTGCACAGCAGAAACAGCAGCGATATCCGGAAGGTTCGCTCCTTCTACCTCTGAGGCATCAAGGGAAGTTGGAGGTGGAGCTTCAGAGCCTGATTCCTGTTTTTCTCTCTCATCTTCTGCACCAACTTTCCTCCCTCTAGTAGATTTTCTCACTGTGGCGAAAGATCACAAATTCAGCAAATGCATGAAAGAGAAAGAAAAAATATAGACGTGTGAGTTTGTGTTACCTGGCGTCTTTCTGGTTCTCTTCTTGGCTCGGCCTCTTGTCCTAGGAGCTTTATCTTCTTCTTCCTCCTCAACCTCTCCCACTTCATCCACTGTCACAAAGTTCACATTCTCCTCTACAGTAGGTAAAAGAAATAAAATACAAGGTTTGACTTAAAACACGTAGTATCCCATAGACATGTTCTACAGAAATCGGGAGGTGTGGCTAATCTCACTTAACATTTCAAAATAATCCTTTGGTGATCACAGGATTTTCATCCTTCTGGTGACTACATTACCCACAATGCACTGACTGCCGACAGTATTGTTAGAGACTTTAGCTTCAGGCCTCAAACAGCTGAGAAATGAGCTACAGAGGCTTCGGGGATTCATGGTTTTATTAAACTACAATAAATAAATAAAATAAATGATAACTTTATCTTGTTCAACATTAAACACGCTGTAATGTTTAAGGTAACACACACCTGTGTCGTCATCGTATTTGCGTTTAGCAGATGTTGTTTTCTCTGCTTCATCCACCTTCTCTTCCTCATCCTCGCCTGCTTCATCTAAAGTCAGCAAATTCTACAAAGAGCGAGAGAAGGGCGTCAGTGTTTGGATCAATGGGCCACGAAAGAATTCATTCAGTTTGAAATGTTGCTCTTGACCCAGACAAAAGGAAGTTAGTATTATTTTTTTAAACTTTATTTACATCTTTTGTCATTTTCACCAAGTTCTCTGAGAATGATTCGTGGATGTGTATGAGTGTGTGCAGCTTGATTGAGTTTAACACGACTGTTGAGCCTCGGCGGAGGAACGTCTTTTACCGAGTGACATTCTCGTTACCTCTGGGTTTAAGGAGTCCAGTGATTCGTCATCCTTGCTGGGTGGGCGGGGCTCAAGCGCTCTTTGTCCACCTTTTCCCTCCTCCTCCTCATCCTCTTCTACGATTTCATCCAGAGTGACGAGCCCCTGCATTTCTTCAGCTGTGATCTCAACATCAGACCCATTTAACGCCATTTCCTCTCCAGGCTCGTCTGCTCCCACTTCATCCAGAGTCACCAGCTCCTTGGTGTCTACCTCTTCCTCCTTTTCCCTTCCCCTTTCCATTGTCTTCCTCCTGTGTCCCCCACTGCTGCTCCGGCTCCTTCGCTCCGTGGTGAGTTCCTTTTCTTTAGCAGCAGCTTTCCTCTCCCTCAGTTCTTCCTCCTCAGCTATGTCTTCAGGGTAATCCTCCTCCTCATCACTCACTTCATCCAGGTTCACCAGAGAACTCATCGGAGCTGTTGTGTCACTTTCCCCGGATGGTTTTTGGTTCTTCTCCACTTCTGGTGTTGTGGGATCACTCTGAGACTTTGTTGTTGATGCACCTTCTTTCTTGATGGATGCTTTGGATGATCTTTCCCTGTTTTCCAGACCAGCAGATGGATCATGATCTAAATCCTTGGTGACCACGTTTTCGGAGGCTTCCACAATGATCCTAAACGTTGGTGTTTCTGTAACAGCTGCTTCCTCCTCTTTTGGACGAGTTTCATCTTTTGTCTTACTCGTTTCCTTCGTCCCTCCCTCGGACACCTC